CTTAGGAAATTTTCAGCAAGGCTGGCCTAGTCAGAGACTCCATGTAATGTTGTGCAGGCTGGGATGTGTTCTGCATAAAGCTGTCAATTTAAATTGCCGTGAGGGGTCCAGCTCAACAAACCCTAGAATAAGGTGTGTGATATTCTCAAGGGCACAAAGACCCCAAAGTTGCTAGCAAAGACCCTGACTATGGTTAGTGAAAGAGACTGTATAATGGTTTGGTTATGAAGCATCCCCCAAAAGCTCATGAGTTAATGCTTCCTGTGTTAAAGCTTCTGTGTTAATGTTAATGCTTTTTAGTGTGACATGACTATATTATTAAAGTTGTAACCAAATTAGTGGATTAATCCATTTAGTGGATTAATAATAGTTTGAACAGATTACTAGGTGATAACTGTAGACAGGTGGGGTATAGTTAGAGGAAGTGGGTTACTAGGGATGTGCCTTGGGGATTGTGTATTTTGCCCCATCTCCTTGTGAGATCTCTCTTTGCTTCCCCCACTGCCATGAGCTGGGCAGCTTTTCTCTACTATGATTTCCACCATGATGTTCTGCCTCATCTCTGACCCAGAGCAATGGAATCCACTAACCATGGTGTGACCCTCTGAAACAGTGAGTCCAAATAAACTTTTCCTCTTCTAAATTGTTCTGATATACTATTTTGGTCACACTGATGAAAACCTAACCAAAACAAACTATTATAATACATTATTGTTTATTTAAGACGTTTCTTTGGAATGCTATCTTTATTATTTTTAATTTTTAATATTATTTTTCCCCAGAAGTTTTAGGTTCCAGGGAGTTATTGAGGAGTTAACTCCTGAAGTTGGATAAAATGGCCCTTGATCTGCCCTTTCCTTTTATTTGAAAAACTCTCAAAGGAAATTAGATAACAACAAACCTTCTTTGTTAATGTCCCCCAAACACAATTCACTATAAAAAGGACAATGCAAGATATGCCAGATGCATTTGGGTTTCATCCAAAAAAAAAGTTTGGATGAAGCACAAAGTCTGAAGCACCAGTTCTTCCTTAAGCTGACCTCACCTTAAAGGCTTTCAAAACAAAGTTGACAACAGAGTTACCATGGGGCAGGGCTATATAGTATCTGCATCATTTAAGAGAGAATCTGAATATAAGTAAGAAACTAAATAGTTGTCCTTTTGATAATAGTTTTTTTTTCTCATTCCATATTTATTTATATTATTGATTGAATCCAATGTTCTTCAAAGACACATTGGATATATACTGATTAAAACCAATATATATTGATACATGGATATGTGCCTGGTAATAAGACTAGGTGGTGAGTTTTTTGTTTGACGAAGAGTCTTGCTATTTTACCCAGCCTGACCTTAAACTCCTGGGAATAAGTGATTCTCTTATCTCAGCCTCCCAAGTCACTGGGACTACAGATGTATGCCACTACTCCTAACAAAGTGATAAATTTTTTAATATGTTGCAAAGACACATGTCTCTATTGTCAATTCAGGAATGTTCTATACTCTTGAAAATACCAATAATGAAAAAGATTGGTTGTTGAGGAAAAGTAATTTCTGTGTGTAGAACCTAAGGATAAGAGACCTACAGAATTGAATTAACTTTATTAAATGTATAGTGTGGCTAAAATACAGGCAAGCTAATGCTCTAGCCTTTCTTTAAAAAATATAACATCAAGTTGTAATTTCATTTACAATTATGTTCTTTAGAAAATATATTGCAGAAATTCACACAAGATCTATAGCCTCCCGCCACCCCCCCAAAAAAAAAAAACCTGATATATTTGCTAAAAGGTGTTAGAAATGATAAGGATTTAGTTGCAGCATTTACTTATGTATTTATGTGCACAAATACATATAAGCTTACACAGATACTTCTTACTGTTCCATTATCTAAAACTGTATAATAAACTACCAGAAAATTCAGTGACCTAACAACAGCCACTTTGTTACATTTTACTGTTCTGTGGGTCAGGACTTTGAGAAGGGCTCTGCTGGCTGGTTCCTGTGTTCTATGTAGGGTCAATGGAGGTCACAGCCAAGGTATTCAGCTGATGGATAGATTGGTCTGGAGGATTCAATAAAAAATGACTAGACTCCAGGAGGGGATGCTGGAAAGTTGGGCTCAGCTGGGACAGGTGACTAGAGGACACATGTACCCAGTAGCCTTTTTAGTGTGGTAGTCTCAAGGTAGTTGAATTTACATGTCAGCTCAGGGATATCACAGTGAATATTTAAAAACAAAACAAACAGCAATAACAACAACAACAACAAAAACCACTGGAAAATGTAGGTTCCTTATGGTTTAACTTTGAAAATCTCAGAATTTCACATTATCCAGATTCTAATTTTCAAGCAAGTCCCTGAGGTCAGACCCAATTCAAGAGTTGGAGATAAGACTATGTTATGGTTTGAATGTGAGGTGGTCCCCAAAAGCTCATGTGGAAGACAATGTGAGAAAGTTCAGAGGAGAAATGATCTGGTCATGAGATCCTTAATCCCATCAGTGAACTGGTCCCTTGATGGATTTAACTGGGTGGGAACTGAAGGTGGGTAGGGTTTGGCTGGAGGAGGTGGGCCATTGGGGGTGTGGCTTTGGGTTATACATTTTGGATCTAATGAATAGAGTCCTTTTCTTTGCCACTGATCATTATGTGAGCCACTTCACTCTGCCAGTCTTCCCCATGATGTTCTGCCTCATCTCAAGCTCCAAGGAATGGAGCTTGCTGTCTATGGACTGGGACCTCTGAAACTGAACTTTTTTCCTTTACAATTGTTCTGGTCAGGTCTTTTAGTTGTATTGGTGGAAAAAGCTGATTCAAACACGATCTTAATGAAAGGAGAACAAAGAAAGTATGGTTATCTTCAATCCACATACACCTACGACCAACTGAGACAGCACCAGTAACTCCCTAGACTCTCTATGTTACAGGCCCTGGAATGCTTCAGGCTGGGTGGATAGCATTTACTTTTACAGGGTGTTCTAGTCCTCTGCAGATGGAAGATGAATCAAATTCCCAACTTTTAGTGTTGGATTCATATGTTTTGCAGCTGTCACACATTTTCTTCACTAAGCCATTGTCAACCTAAATAACAATCAGAGAGAAATTGTCCAAAGAATAATGATATTTATTTGGGAATAGCAGAGCATTGCAATGGGAGTCTGATGCCATAGTGAGCTATGGGTATATTTAAGAAAGTTGAGCAAGAGGAAGTTATTAAAGGCAAAAAGGGAGGAAATTTACATAAGATAGAGTTAATTGGTCTTGGCAATGGGAGGAAGGAGTGGCTATTAGTTCATAGGGTGAAGTACTGTTTCTGGGAAAGTATTCTGTCAGGTTTATCTTGTTTGTATTGTTGCAGTCTTACAGAACTTTAAACTTTGTTACAAAAATCTGTTATAGTGAGAGAGAGGTGCAAAGCACTTAGTTTCTGTAGAACTCTCCTGTGAGCCTTAGAAAGCCCTTGAGAAAGTATTTACCTCAAACAAGCAAGGACTCTGCCCCTTCATTACTTCCTGGCTCTAATTTTGTCTGGGTCTGATGAAAGCAATTTCAGTATACATCATCAACTTTCATACCATATGACCAAAAAGCCTTTTCATGTATCATGTGTCTACTTATTAGTTTTAGAGCTTTTCCCAGTAATAAGACTATAAAAGGTCAGAACTGGAAGTCACTTGGGAGATAGAAATCTGGTCCCATTTCATAGATGAAGGGCTGTCATTGTGATGCTTAAAGAGAGGCAATCCTGACTTAACTGTGTGATGGATGGCCTGTTCCTCTGATCTTCTTCCCTTAGAAATAGCCCATCTCCCTTGATTTGGCATCCTGTTCACCATGAAGCATTTAAAAAGAAACCATCCATTCCAAGTACAACTGTCCAATCGTATTTATGTACAATTTCTGGTCCAATTTAACAATGTTTACTGAGTGCCTACCAAGGTTGACTGTGGTCCAAGGCACTGGGCTATAGTTGAACCAGTACTTTAGAGACACACACAGAAGGCTCTGACTCCTAGAGGCTTTCCTTTCCCTACTAGTTAGAAAGTCAGGGTACAAATTCTATTATAGTCATTTTTCTCTGGATGACTTATTTGATGATGTTGTTTATCTTTAATATTTCTCAGTGTGGTTCCCCCTCCTCCTTTCATTTATAGAACAGAGCATGGAGCTAAAGATTCTTCCCTTATAATCAGCCTATTTGTTCTAAGGAGGAATTTTATCTATACAGAGCATGGATTTGGAGGAGGTGTTGGGGTAATACTATCAGAGATCAATGTGCTGGTCCATTATTGCTCTTTTTGTTTCAAAAGACATTTGCTTTTTAGATGAGGTGAGATCCTTATTTAGATCACAGGGATTCTAGGTGACTGCTCTAAGGGCAGTCAATAGTTGCTTGGTCTTCCTGTTTATATGGTGCCCAGTCACCATTAGCTTTTTGTCTTCTTCTGCTGCAGCTCATTTATCTTCCTCTTGGCCCAGAGGGAGAGGAGGTGGGGGGTATGGACAGCTGACAGTGACACCCCCTTGACATAACTTCCAACACTAGCCCTTGACTCTCAGAACTCAGAGGGATCACTCTCCTGCTCAGCTAGGAGGTGGTTCCCTCCATGGTGATTCCTGGCCCCAGGTGGGGAGGGGGAGCCCCAGACCCCTAAGCGCTCCAGGCAACGCCAAAGGCCAAACGATGACAGGCCTTCCAGAGCGGGGAGTGGAAGTGAGGCGCTTCACCCGGGACCAGGAAAGACGGCCGGGCCTGGGAGTGGCAGTGCGCTCCCCCGGGCTCTGGGCCGACACTGGCTCCCGCCGGTGGGGAGGAGAAGGAACCAGATGGGCGGGTTCGAGCGTGTGCGGCGGCGGTCCTGGGGCCGCCGGCTCCTCCCCGCGAGTGTGCCTGTCTGCTGCTCTCCGCGCTGAGGCAGTGCGGCGGCGGGCGCGCCGAGGCTGCCGCCCAGCGCCCTGGCCGCGGCCATGCCCGGGCCCTAGTGTGCCTGCCGCAGCCCGCGCCGCGCGCCCAGCAGCCCGGCGCCCGCCGCCGCCTCTTCAATGGGCAACCTGCTCGGCGGGGTCAGCTTCCGCGAGCCCACCACCGTGGAGGACTGCGACTCCACCTGGCAGACGGACTCGGAGCCGGAGCCGGAGGAGCCAGGGCCGGGCGGCGGCGGCCAGGGCCCGGGGCAGGAACCCGAGGAGCCCGCGCAGCCTCCGGAGCGAGCTGGGGGGCGGCCCCGCGCCAGCCCTGCGCCGGACGAGGACGCCGAGGCGGCGGGCGCCGAGCAGGTACGCGGCCCCCGGTGGCCTCGGGCCGGGCTCGAGCGCCGGTGAGAGGAGCGAGCGCCGAGCACCCCCTCGTGCCGAGGGCAGGGGTGCTGGGCGGCTGCTGGTCTTCTGCGCCCCGACCCCTCCGCGCCCGCGGCTGTCTAGAGGCTCGGCTGACCCGAGAGGCCTGCAGCGGCGTGGAGCACTGGGGTCGCCCGCCGCTGGCCTGGGCCCTGACTCTGGGTACGACAGGGAAGTCCCTCAGGGCTTAAACCCAACTTGAATGGGTTTTCTTTGCCTCTGCAGCTGGGTAATGCGAAGGTGGGGTGGGAGGAACCTGGCTAAAAATAGAGGATTGTGAAAACTCGACTAGTGCGTGTTATTGGTTAAAAAAAAAAAAAAAAAATGTATTACGAATAAAATGGGACTGCAATTGCCAAGCAGCTGGCAGTGTCTCTTACTGTGGGGTCTACAGCCATTAAAAGTACTGCGGAAGCCTCTCATCCGAAGTTAAACTTCGTAGTTCTTATCCCAAGTAAGGCCTTTCACCAAGTTCAGGACATTCTTCAAAAGTGTTATTTCGCCTAGAAGACTTGTTGATCCAACAATGCTTAAACCATTCGACTAATACAGTTTGGACGAGAGGTTAGTAAAGAAGTAAATGGCATCTTTAACTTCTGGATTCAAAAAATAATCAGAAACTTGAAAAAGGAGGAACTACATATTCTTCACCTTATGAAGAAGTGTGCCTCGTGTTTGAGGTTTGTGGTTCCCTATTAGGCCTTCTATCAGTTACCGGGCAGCAGCGAGAGTGTGAAAACAGAGTCCAAACACCAATGTGACCTCCCGGTTTTAGGGGAACCACCACCTACTTATTTCTGTGAGTGCTGCCCCATCCATCTTGATGATGATTCTGCATAGGTAGGGAGGAACCTAACTATGTTTTCTTAGTGGAGGATCTGACCAAACATGCTATTTAAATGAGTTGCAATTTCAGGGTGAAATTTTTCTTTTAGTTTTCATTTTAGAGAAAATTGAAGCTTGCAGAGAATGAAACTGCCCAAGATCATATAGGAAGAGAAATATGCAAACCCAAGTACGTCTGTTATCACAGTCAGAATCTTGGACTTGTTGGAATCCTGAGTATACCTCTCCTCTGCCTATTGTGCTCTGGTTGGCTCCTCTGTCATTTACATTGCTAATTTAACCTTAGGGAAATATTAGATGCTATTCTGGTGTTTTCTCCTTCTATTTGCTTCCCAATTAACTTCTATAGAACTTCTTCAGAAATTTGGGATATCAGTCTAATTAACCAGGTCAATCTGTATGAAACAATGTAATTGAAGTTTCAAACAGGTAATTGCAACCACAATAAACAGTAGGCCACATGCACCCTTTCATTCCCATTTAATGGTTAATTCTCATTGGTGTCACCATATAACTTCTTAAAAAAAAAAAATACATACGAATTCAACCTTTTGACTGTCCACCCCATTTGTTCCCCACTAACAGTCAATCCATTTGCAAATACTATTGGAGCTACCTGTAAAGTACATTACAGACTGACTACTTCTCACCACTTGCACTGTTGTCATCCTAGTCCCAGTGAATATTGTACAAATGATGGTATCATTAACTAAGATGAAAAAGTTCAAGGAGAAGCAGCTCTGGAGGGTAAATCAAGGTTTTTCTTGAGTTTAATATCCTTTTAGATATCCAAGTAGAACAGTTGAGTAGTTAATTTTATTTATGAATAGAGCATTTAAGATCAGAGATAAAGTCCAAGAATATAAGAGGTCATCCAGGAGTGGGGAGGAATGAGAATTAAGTCCTGGTTACTCCTGTGTTCAGAGACATAAAGAGAAGGAACCCCAAAAGGAAGTAGACAAAAGGGATAAGTGAGACAAGAAGTAAACCAAGAGTGTGGTATCCTGAAAACCAAGTACTAACAGTGTTTCAGGAAGGATGGAGGCCTTCACTGGGTCTGTGCTGTTGGGAGGGCACCAGAGATGAGCATTGAGAATTGGTTTGGCAAGATGGAGATTTGTCTGCAAAGTTCCTAAGAATCATTTTGAAGGGGTGCTGAGGATAAAGCTTGATTGGGGTGGAGAATGGTGAAAGAGAAGAGGAGTAGGAGTGATTCTTTGATGATTTACTATAAAATTAGAAATAAGGATCTATAATCAATGGTGGCCTTGGAAGGTGTTGTGTGTTTATTCCAAGATTAAAGATGTACAGTATGTTTGTTTGCTGAGAAGACTGATCCAGAGAAGAGGGAAATTTTGATGATCCAGGTAAGAGGAACTATATGTTAAGGAGCAAGACCTTGTTTGAGCAGGAGAGGGGGTCAGGACAGAGAGTCCAAAAGAAATAGGGGCTGAAGGTGCAGTAACAGATACTGCCAAGCTGATACACTTAGAGGCTGGAGGGTATAGTCATTCTCATGATTATCCTGGGAAGCAGGTATGGCATGAGTCATTATCTCCATTTCATAGATGATAAAACTAAGATTCAACCAAGTGATTTACTTAAGTCCTCACAAATACTAAGTAGCAGAATTAAGACTCACCTTAGTCTGACTCCAAGTCTTGGGCTATTAATCTTATACTAAATTTTCCATATATCCTTCACTTTTAGTGCAACTGAAGTTGATTCAGACCTAATTAGTTGGGCTTGGAACCTGCCTGATTCTTGCACTGTCACTGGGCCCTGGGTCTTGTTCAATTTCCCCTAACCTCAGTTACCTTGTTTCTAAGATGGAAACACTAATCATTGTCAGCCAGGTGTGTTGCAAGAATCAAATTAAATAATATACATGTAAGTATTTTATAAATGAAAAAGTGTTTTCTATACAAGTGTAAGATGATGATTCATATGGTTGTAGCTCAGGCTAAATGGATTCAGAAACTTGCTAGGCAGAGCCATTTTGAAACGTGTGGCAAGGACCAGACTTTAAACTTTCCCTTGCTTATGTAACATGACGGAGTAACTAATGTAAAATATCAGAGGATTTGGTATTAAAGCATCTTTGTACTTGTAGTAAGAGTGAGAATCACACCACTTCAAAGATGTGTGAAAATTGCTTAGAGGATGTCAGTCTGTCAACACAGAGGGGGGCAGGGACAATGAGAAAAGAGTTTGGAGCAAAGCTCATAATGAGTATTCAGTTCTAAACATTGTAGTTTTCATTATTTTTGTCATTCTCATTGTCTTTCAGCGTGAACTGGACACAAAACATATTTTATAACAATATGTATAGTTAGAGAGTGCAAATTCATGATATTGACCTGCATCTTTACATTAAAAATGGGGGGTAGGAACTTCATGGGAATAAGAATTTAGCTTAGGATGTAAATATTATGAGTGAGCTACCACATGTAAATTACTTCAATCTGATGTTCATTCCATTTGAGAACATTTTATTGAGTGTATATATTTTAAATTTGCTGATTTATGTCACCTCACATTATCATTGAATGAACAGATGATTATCCATGCTTTTGTGTACTTGTTATGGTGCTATAAAGGATGGAGTTTAGAAAGCTATTTAGTTTGTTTTAAAATCATCCTTTCATAAATATTGCTTGACTTCTGTGCACAACTAAATGTTGCAAATTTAATGACAATTTTTCTTTGTAAAATTGATTTATCATTCTAACTTTTTTAAGTATTATCTAAAGTATTCTAAAATAAGCTTTGTCATAGGATCATTTGGGTAACAGCTGGTAAAATACATGTTTTGAATTCATTTTGAGTTCTGTTTCTGATGGATGTCAATCCATAACATTTGTCCTCCAAAGGCTTTAATTTAGTAATATGCCATAGGGCAAAAATTTTTGGTACAAGTAAGGAAAACAGAATAGTAGCAAATGTTACTACTATTACTAAAAGACAATTATAATCTTTTTATTGTTCTGGGCAAGTTGAAAATTTTCAGACTTTCTTTATGGGTGTTCATTATTTCAAATTTGTTCTGGAAATTTTGTAGTGAAATTTTCTTGCATCAACATGTAAATAGAGTTTCACTTTTTATTTTAGGGTGGTGATTCCTCTGAAGCAACTGCCAAACCAAAGAGAAGTTTTTATGCTGCAAGGGATTTGTACAAATACCGACATCAGTACCCAGTAAGAGTGTAGGATGTTTTTCTTTTAAATGTAAAATATTTCCCTTCTGTTTTCCTAATTTTATGGTGCCAATGAGAAAAACATCAGAAGGGTCCTTGTGCCTTTTTTTGTATTTCCATGTACTAGAGATTGATTTATTTTTTCCTTTAGCAGAACTTCAAAGATATCCGATATCAAAATGACTTGAGCAATCTTCGTTTCTATAAGAATAAAATTCCATTTAAGCCAGATGGTGAGTAATCTGCTACTTTGGTAAAAAGCAAACTTTAAATAATAGCATACACCTGGGTATTCTTTGTTTATTCCATGGTTAGTACATTTTTATTGCATCTGTAAACTGACTTTACCATTCAGTCAAATGTGTCTCCAAAGTCCTAGGCTTTAGGATTGTGGACACACTTGGTAAATTCTGGAGGAGTAGCTATTTGTTAGTGATACCTTCCCACAATTTGTATATCATCACTATTATCTGAAAGGTACTAGGGGCAATGTTTTGTGAACAGAAAAGACATTTATAGATTTACAGAACCATAAAGTTTTAGACTACTAAGGATTTTAGAGGAGTTCAAATTCAGCTTTCTCATCTTAAAAATGAGGTCAGAGGGAGTTCAGTGATTGACTTGCTGGGTCACTCAGCTAATTGTCTTGTTAGGTCTAGGTTCTAGGGTCCACTGTTCTTTCCAGTATGCCATACCCTTAAATTATTTAGAATGTGAGTGAAAATGCTGTCTGTATTTGGAATTATCTTTCCTGTCAGTTTCAGAGCTATGGGTCAGGAAGATACAGCCATCCCAGTTTAGTGTTCCAGGATCCTGGGAAAGGGAGTAAGGATGCGGTAGATCTCCATCTACTTCTGCCAAAAAAATTTGTCTCCTTCACAACTCTACAGTTGCCCTTGTAGGATCTTTTTCAAACCCTTAGGGAGAGGATGCAGCTGCTATGGTAATTTGACCACAAAATTGCATATTTCATTGAAGCACCACACTGTGGTTCATGATGGGCAGCCTCATTTTATCCAGGTCAAACCAGGGAAGCTGAAGCCAACTTCTCTCTTTAGAGTCCCTTTCTGTTTGAGATGACTATACAGTTTTGGTTCTTGCTCCTTGTTCTTCATGGAAACTGAGCCAAATCCACATCAAAGTGAGTCAGGAAATGAGGGTCATGGATTGTAAGACTTTCAAGGTGGCAAGATATTGCATTCTTTGGTAATCTGGAGGAAAGAGATCCTGCTTTTCCTCCTTGAACTGGAGGAAAGAGATCTAAAGGCTGGATTGGGTATTAAGAGGAGGGAGTCCCAGTTTGTGTACTGAGAAATGTATAAATTGGGAATCAAGTGGCCACATCTGCTGTTTTCGAACTTTCTGGTGTCCTAAAAGCCTGCTTGAATTTGAAGGAAAACCTCTGGATAAAAATGCACTTTCTGTTTACTAATGATAGAAATATGCTGCTTTTATTTTAGTCAATGGAAAAATATTAACTAAATTATTAGTTTTGTTAGGACTTGGTGTAAGAAAACCTTTTGAAGAAATGCACATAGTTTGTTGATTTGTCTCTAATTTGAATGTCATAAAACTCAGCTAAAGAAATGCCTTTAAGTGTTAGAAATAGTGAACATAAATTTATGACAGTATTTAACTCTATTTTTACATTTCTAGTGGTGAATTTATTTTTGAGTTAATAATTTAAAGCTCTGGCAGCTTCAAGCAACACATAAAATTTTTTGTATTTTATCACAAAATTTATTTTGAAACCTTAGATAATGGGGGTCAAAAATGTTAGCTAAGGTCACATTAAACCTTATTCTAGTGTATTACACAAATGTGTCAATTCACACACTTTGCTCTCCTGTGTGCACACAAATGCACACTTGCCTGTAAGCATAATTTGCTGTGGTATATTTTACTTATTAAGTGGGAACAGAGGTCATTGGAGGGGAAAACAATGACAAAGGCGAATGGTTTTAGCATTTTACCAAGTACGGAAATGGTGATCTCTGGAGGAAAGAAGGAAATGAGCTATGTTTAGAGAAGTACTATGCTTCTATTTTCATAAGATTGACTAAATGGCTACATAGTCAATTGTAAGGACCTTGAGTATCAGGAGGATTTTACCATAGGAAGTTCTTGTAGGGGAACACTGGGACATAGTAAAAGAGTATACTCTTCAGAAATAGAAAGACCTATGTTCTACTCCCTAGATTTATTTTTTCACTAGTGTGTGAGCAGCAAATTGCACAATTTCCTTAGGAAAATGGGAGAATACTGAGAATTTTTTCTTACAGGGCAGGTAGTAAATATTTGTATATTAGCAAGTCTCTGTTGCCAGCTACTCAACTTTGCTATTATAATATAAAAGCAACCATAGATAATACATAAATTAATCTTTGTAGCTGTGTTCTGATAAAACTTTATTTATAAAAGAGCTGGCAGGCCAGGGTTTGCCAACCTCTACTGTAGAGTACATTGCCAAATAGAATGTTCTGTGATTTGAATACTATTAATTTTTTTGTGCTTATAACTGAGTATATGGATAGGATATTCTTCTTTAAAAAAACATTATTCTTGTGTACTATTTTTAAATTTTAAAAAGTTTTAATATAAAACTCAGGTAATTCAAATCTTAAAATGCCTTTGCAGTGTTTTAATCCTCTCTTTCATTTTCTAAATATTTACCGTTTAGGTGTTTACATTGAAGAAGTTTTAAATAAATGGAAAGGAGATTATGAAAAGCTGGAGCACAACCACACTTACATTCAATGGTCAGTTACATTTTATCTATCTTGAACCATGTCCTATTTAATTATGTATGCTTTACAGACAATGTTAATAGAAAAAATTGTATTTTTTTTTTAAAATAGGCTTTTTCCCCTGAGAGAACAAGGCTTGAACTTTTATGCTAAAGAGCTAACTACATATGAAATTGAGGTAATGCAGACTCATTTCATTTTATGTAAAGTGGCCAAATAATAGTGTCATTTTATTTTCCTGGTAGCTACTAAGTCATGTCAGCTGACCCTTTTTTCCATTTTTCTTATTAGGAATTCAAAAAAACAAAAGAAGCAATTAGAAGATTCCTCCTGGCTTATAAAATGATGCTAGAATTTTTTGGAATAAAACTGATTGATAAAAATGGAAATGTTGCTCGGGCTGTTAACTGGCAGGAAAGATTTCAGCATCTGAATGAGTAAGTAAAGCCCTTGTGATAAATAAATGGTATTTTCCTGTAGTCAGAGTTCTCTGTGGAACATAGGAATAGCTAGCAGTTGGGCCAATAATTTATGTTCAAAATTCACTCTGAAATGCATTTTATTCTTTGTTCAATATTCTAAAATAAAACAATAATGAAAAAGAACTAAATTCCAAGTAGAAACACAGCAGTTTAGCTTCAGAGCTGTTTCTTGCTGAAGTTCCCACGTGTGGCCAAATGAGCTTCTTACCCTCTTCCCACCACAGTATTTGGAATTTATGGTTATTGTTTACATGCAATCTTCTGTTTTCCTTCTACTGGGCTTCTTGGGTCACAGTCAATTTCTAACACCTTCAAGCTTGATGCTTCTTAGATTAAATTCATGATTTAAGCCTATGGTGTATAGCAATCATTATATAGAAATGAGATGTACCTGTGCCTTTTACTAAAACAGAGGAGATATTATAATTATCTTTACTATTTAGGTAAAATCAAAAACATATGTTTTAGCTACTAACCCCCAAAACCTACAAAGAAAAATGTAACATAGCTTATTTGGATATGTTCTGCTATTTTGTTTTGCTTGGATATTTATATCTTCCATCAATACTTATAACCAAAAGCTTATTTTTTAAAATATTTTCTTCATACGCAAACTGGCTTTTTTTTTTTCTTTTAATTATAGAGTAACTTATAAGAGCTGGACTATAAAACCAACAGTTTTAAAACACTTTTTAGCACATTATAATTAGCTAACTGGGCAAGTACTAAGAGGAAAAAAAGAGAACAAACTTAAGTAATTCAAAGTAATTCTTTGGTCAGAACAATGTGAATTTTGGCATCAGTTATGTAAATGATTTGTCTTCTAGGACTTTTGTCTTGCGTTGGTAAAATGGGTATAAAAAAGTTGAGCCTTCTTTTTCCTTTTTAGTTATTATCAACACTATTAAAATGGTAACTTGTATGAAAATACTGAGGATATGTGCATAAAGATTATGATTCTGATTAGCTAATCCCTTAACTCATAACTCAAATTAAGTTTTGATGTGTGTGTGTGTGTGTGTGTGTGTGATCTCTACCTGAGCAGTGCAGGTAAGTATCTCTGGACAAAGTTTCTAAGCACTTAGGTCACGCTGTCAAAGAAAGCTGTATGCTAGTAGCCTATTGTTAGGAAGGATGGTTGAAGTAAGCCTTTAGAAAGGGTCGGATAGATTAGTGCTCTATCTGATGTGCATGTGGCAAAAATTTGCTCTCAAAATGTAGGCTCTCTCTTCATATTACTGATTGTTTCTTTTTCTGAGAAGATTTATTAGTTTGAATCCTTCCCATTTATTGATTCTTGCTTTTATTTCTTGTGCTTTAGGAGTCTTATTAAGGAAATTAGGACCTAATCTGACATGAAGAAGATTTGGATGTACTTTATCCTCTCTTAGGTGCAGGGTCTCTGGTCTAATTCCTATGGCCTTGATCCACTTTGAGTTGATTTTTGTGCACAGTGAGAGATACAGGTTTAGTTTCCTTTTGCTGCATATTGATTTCCAGTTTTCCAAGCACCATTTGTTATAGAGGCTATCTTTTCTCTACTGCGGTTTTGGTGTCTTTGTCTAGTATGAGATAATTGGATTTACCACTGAGCTACATCCCCAGCACTTTTATTTTTGAGTTGTAGTTGGTCACAACACCTTTATTTTATTTATTTATTTTAATGTGGTGCTGAGGATTGAGCCCAGGGCCTTGCATGGGCTAGATGAGCACTTTATTGCTGAGCCACAATCCCAATCCCCTAGCATTTTTTTTTTTTTTTTTTTTTTAATTTTTTTTTATTGGTTGTTCAAAACATTACACAGCTCATGACATATCATAAAGAACTTAAAAAATTTAATACCAGAAAATCAATAAATGGGCTAAGGAGACGAAAATAGACTTTCTAGAAGATGATATACATTAAATCAACAAATAAATGAAAAAATGTTCATCAACTCTAGTACTTAGAGAAATGCAAATCAAAACTACTCTAAGATTTCATTTCATGCCAGTCAGAATGGCAGTTATCAAGAATACAGACAAAAGTAAGTGCTGATGGGGACATGGGGGAAAAGGTATACTGTACATTGCTGGTGGGACTGAAAATTGATGCAGCCAATCTGAAAAGCAATATGGAAATTCCTTAAAAATATTGGAATGGAACAACCATTTGGTGGCACTATCCCACTTCTTGGTATATACCCAAAGGACTTAAAAACAGCATACTACAGTAATGCAGTTACATCAATGTTCATAGCAGCACAATTCACAATAGCCAAATTCTGGAACCAACCAAGATGCTCTTCAGTAGATGAATGGATAAAGAAACTGTGGTATATATACACAATGGAATGTTACTCAGTAATAAAAGAAAATAAAATCATGGCATTTGCAAGTAAATGGATAGTTAGAGAATACCATGCTTATCAAAGTAAGCCAATCCCAAAAAAATAAAGGCCAAATGTTTTTTTCTGAAAAAAAAAAAAAAAAAAAAAAAAAAAAGGGTCGGATAGGGCCACATTTTTTGTGTACTCACATATAGCACTTCAAAGCTTCTTCTTTTCAACTTGGTTTTGGTCAGAATAGCAATCTTATTTAGTAAATTTTTGTTGAATGAATAAATCATGAACAAAATGTGGTTTTCAGACTCAAATCCTCCTTGGGTTTTATTGTCAGATCCTCTGATTTATAGCTATAAACAGGGCCCTTTCTGAAGGCTTTAGCTGAAAGATCTCCTGTCTTGAGTCAGGGGAGGGGAGTCTGAATTAACAGTCCTTCTCAATCTGCTCCATCTAGCTACCTTTCCTCTACTGTGTATTGTCTCTCTTTGCCTTTCCAGTTCTGGATTAACTGTCTTAGAATCTGCCAGAAAACATTTCCTCTCTGGTTTAGTTGCCAAAAATTTTGTCGACTAGATTTGAACAAATCATGTGGGATGATATGAAAATGTCTATTCCATCTTCTTCTTCTGTTGGGTCCTTTTCTCATTTATTCTTAAATGTCACAATGTATATGTGGTTTAATCTGTATGGCATCTTAAGTTTTCTAGAGTAGGCAAAGAACTCAGTATACTTATAGTAGCTAAGCAAAGGAAAATTACTGAATCAAAAGAAATGAAATAACATGGACTAAACAAGTGACCATTTTAAAAGAAGTGAAATACTTCCAGTCATGAGAGTACAGAGATATATACCAACCACTAAGATGTAATTATGATTTTATTTGTAATCAGCTTAGATTACTGAGCCATACTGGGACATATGTTAGGCCCAGAAATCCCTTCTAACTTTCCTATTTTCTGGTTCTTGCTTTTTGTGTGTTCTCTCTTCACCTATCTAGTTTCCTGGCCATGTCCGACTGTTTATTGCCTTTACGTCTGTTGAAGCCCAATTGCTTTTCTATGTGTTGTACATCCTCAAGACTGCTTGTAACACTAGTGGGTTTTAGCCACTCTCCTCTCATTCATTGTGACACTTACATCAAATCATACTGAAACACCCAATTGTTCTCTTCCGTAATTTTATTTCAAATCCCTGATCATCATTTTCTTCAACCCAAGTTTTTGTCCTTTTATACTGTAAATATATTAATTGGAGAATATGTAGATAAAGATAAATGTGTACAGATATTTTAACTTGACCATTCATTGAAGATTAATTGTATGAAATTGAGCTGGTTGCAAATACATATTCATTTTGTCACATAGCATCTCTTGTAAACATTCTTCCACCTTTCCATATATCAATTTTTCATAGACATGTGAAGCAGATGTTACTCAAGAGTTTTCTCACTAAGTTGTTCAAATACACAAACTCCATACAAATGTAACAATTAAGTCAATTCTACCGTTGGTGACACATTGTCTTAACTTCACCCAGATTGTACTGTCTCCAAACACTCTTATTTCTTAACTATGAAAAAATACAAATTCATAAAACTAAAACATATCTGTGCTATTTTTTGCCCTTTAGGCTTCAAAGAGTTGGATGTAAAGACACTACTTAGTATAACAATACTTAGTATAATACTTGGTAAACATCCAGAAGGATAGAGATGTTAAAAATTGTTGTTACACTTGTCTTTTCCAGTGTATGGTTAGCCTGAATCATTAAGATTTTGTTTTGTCCACATTCTTTCATTAAAATATAAGGCCATGGGAAAACCCCCTTCCATACCTAAAATTATTTGTCAATATCCTTCTCTACCATTCTCAAATAATTTCCTAGTTATTCCTAAGTGAAGACTCTGAGTACTTTTGGAAGCTAGGACAGAACTTTGTAAAAAGGGAAGTGTCTGAGCTATAAAACAGGTTTCAGAAAGTAAGAAATTTAAGTGCTGGTTCTGGTTGTGTGGGAATGTTGGATAATACATACCTGAGCTGTTGATGACACACATGATTAATATGTGTAGCTGAAGACTCCTTTAGGCTTTGGTCTGGCCTGTGTAAGGCAAGGATTGAGCTGAATGAATTTGTGGAAGTAGAGTACGAATAGTGAAAAAACACACTGGGAAAGCATTAATTCAATAATGGCCTTAGTTTTGAGATAGAGAAGAAAGATGTTAGTGTAATTTGGGGAAAGATTGCATCTTTGGAATGAAGGCCCACAGAAATGAGATTTAAATTTTTCTGATAGTGTAAGAGGAGGTGAGAGTGACCAGGATGGAAGAGAATTAGGTTATTAATTTGGAACAGGTACAAATTTGGTGGTTCTCAATAACAAATCTTTAGATATAATGATAAGAATAATAATGTTAAACAGTATCCAATATTTGTTGAGTTTTTCATGTCCTGTATATCTATAAATTCACTTGATCTTGATTTTTACAAAAGTCCAGCAAGTTGTGGGATGTTTTCCCCATTTTATAGATGAAGATACTGAGACTAAGAGAGTCATCATGATTTCACATAGCTGCTAAGTGACAGAGCCAGAGTATGACTGACTCTGAGGCAACTGTTAAATGATGCTCTGTTAAATAAGTCATTTTTGCATCCTTTGTCAGAATTGTTCTAGCCAGGTAGAACGGTTTTTGCTGCTTTCCTTGTGAATTTGACTTACGTGGTGGATTTTGCTGTTTAGTTGACACTATTAATAACACCATTCAGCTTTTAGATAATGTTTTTATGTTCAACCCTAGCTACCTTTGATGAGTACTATACATCATTGGTAGTGTTGCAGCCACAGAAGTTACCCCTTATCCACATGGTATAGGTTCCAAGCCCCCAGTGGATGCCTGAAACCATGGAAGGTGTAGAATTCTATGTATACTATGGTTTATTCTTATACATACATGCCTTTGATATAGTTTAGTTTGTAAATTAGGCATGGTAAGGGATTAATAATAACAACAACTAATAAATAAACAGAACAGTTTTAATAATATACTATAAAAATATTATGTGAACATGGTCTTTCTTGTTTTCTCAAAATATTTTATTGTACTGTACTCACCCTTCATATAATGATATGGTACTATGCTATGGCTGGTTGTGGTAGCTCCTGTAAATGCTCTTTTAAACCACTTGTCCTCAGTCCTTGGTGAATTTAATAAATAAACAATTTAATACCAGGGGGCATAAATTTAAATCTAAATATTTTTCCAATACAAAGAGCTAAAAGGGCAGAGTTTGTTTTATACATTTGAGTTTCACATAGATTGAGATTACATTGAGGTGTAAAGTTTTCATAAAATCTTATTCTTTTTATCAATATTTAAGAAAATCATTACAAGGCATATTTCCTTGTCTTACACTTCCATAAAAAAATGTTTTCCCAATAGTTTGTATTCTCCTGCTTTCTTCCCCTTAGTTCCCACCATCCACCTCATTTTATGCAATCCTCTCTTCCAGGTCCCAGCACAACTATTTAAGAATCACCCGTATTCTCAAAAGCCTTGGTGAGCTTGGATATGAAAGTTTTAAATCTCCTCTTGTAAAATTTATTCTTCATGAAGCTCTTGTGGAAAATACTATTCCCAATATTAAGCAGAGTGCTCTGGAGTATTTTGTTTATACAATTAGAGATAGAAGAGAAAGGAGAAAGCTCCTGCGGTTTGCCCAGAAACATTACACGCCTTCAGAGAATTTTATCTGGGGACCACCTAAAAAAGAACAATCAGAGGGAAGCAAAGCTCAGAAAATGCCGGCCCCTCCTGCCTCTAGTCATAACAGTCAAACGTCTATGCACAAAAAATCCAAGGACTCCAAAACTTCCTCTTCAGCTGTTCATTTAAATAGCAAAACAGCTGAAGAAAAAAAAGTGGCACCAAAAGAGTCTGGGGAAGAGACAGACAGGCCCAGCCCAGAGCCCAACAATGAAGCTGCCAAACCAGAAAACACAGAGGACAGTGATACTGAAAATTCAAATGCTCAATCTGAGAAAACAGTTACTACTCCAACAGAAAGAAAGGAGAGTTCATCTCCTTCTGAAAAAGAAGAAGAGGGCGAAAATCATAACAAAGACTGTGAAAATCCTGGAAATACCAGTTGCCATGATGAGGTACTATTACAGTGAATTATCAGAAAATCAAAAGCCAGTTTAGGTTAAGGGAGGAAAAAGCTACTGTCTAATTTATCCTAAAGAACAGAGATGATGTCATGTTTCCACTGTTAGCCACCTGTTTGTGTTTTCTCTTGTAAGCATTTTGTTGTTATTTGTTTATTTTGGATAACAATGAATTGGATATTTAATGAGAGGATTTAAGACCACATCTAATAAATGAATATATTCTGTAATGGTTTTAGGATGTGAGTTTTCAAATTCTGTATATAACAATTACTTTAAACTTATTTTCAAGGTATCTAGAAATAATCATGTAGTATTTGATATGCATGTCAAATATGTTCTTTCAAGAGACTACAGATTCCATGAAAAAAAATCAAGACAACATTTTCATTGTGTCTCCATACTTTTACCTGATTTTTAGATTAATTTTTGAAGTAGGAAGAAAAAGTTTAGTTTTTCCAGATATATTCAGAAAATATTTTGAATTCTTTGATCCTAATGCTTCAATGTGTTTATTTTTAGATTCTGATAAGTGAAATGGAGGTCCTGGGGGAGCTCTGACCTCCCCAGCTAATCTGTCAGTCCTGCTGTCTTCTTTCTCCCTCTCTCGCCGTTGAGCCGCCATCTTTGTCAGCTACCAAGTGTATTTATAGTATAAATTAGGATAATCATCTTCTTGACATCTAAATGGAACAGAGGGCAACTTTTAATTGTATGATTTCAGAGTATTCTTTAAAATAATAATAAAAATATTTTCTGTATTAAGTGCTTAAAAACAAATTTTGGTGCAAAAGTCCAAAAAAGAACTTTACTTAAATGGCTGTTCCACATAAATTTGGTGGTTGATTCTGGATGCAGATGACTGAAGAATTAAAAAAGGAAAAAAGGAAATTATTCATTTTTAAAAGGCATGCCTCTTGCACTATCAATAGGCATATCTCTTAACTCATTAATATATCTCAGTGATATGTGGATTATTAAATTACTATGTTGTTTATTCTACAGTGTATCTTTTAATATATACATATATATATATATAGTTTTGCATCTTTAATTTATCAAACTTTCAAATCGAGAATAGTTTGAAATTTCATATATTCAGTTCTAGTAAGAACTTAATTTATTACTAATACTTACTGAAAACAATTTTATTTCCAATAATATTATACTAATTACTATTAAAATCAGAAAATAATCAGAAACACTGTGATGAGAACTTCAAAACATATACACAAATATGGAAAAAGCAATGAATATATAAACATTTTCACATTATATCACTTAGAAATAAATTGACTTTTTTTTTTTTTAATCTCTCTTTCACTTTTAAGAAAAGTTCTATTTACTTTAGTCCCCTGGAGGATTTTTTTATATGGCCTATTTCATATCCCATCATATCGTCTTCTGTTATATTTATTGATCCACACTTTAAGCAGTGGATTTCTAGAAAATAATCACACTGATAGTATGTTTTTAGAAATATGATTTTATTGCTTTGAAATTTATGCAAAAACACCCCACTTGCTTAATCTTGATTTTTTTCATGAAAGTCTTAGTAGCACTCATGTTTTATTTCATGTTTCAATATGTAGAATATAGAATACCTTATCATTTTTAGTTCCTATAACATGTCAAATTGAAGTACTAAGAATTTGAGATAACAGTTTAAGTGTGTTATTTCCATTTTTTTTTTTTTCTTTTTACACGCAGGAAATACATGGATCCTCTGACATGGTGCTTGTCACAGCAGTGTCCCTGTAGATCTTAATAAACAGTTCCACAGAGTTTAGTGGATAAGAGTGAATTGTCAAATTAGGCTGAATTATAGGAATAATATTAATTTAATTCAAAATATCTTACTAGTTGTGTATAGACAGTGTATAGACACTTTCAGACTGCTTTCTAAATGCTTAATATTAAACATGTGACCAGATTAGTATCTGGTATCTATTAATACTTTTAATATTTTAATTTAACTTCTAATATTTTTAACAGTTACAGATACTAATCCAGTCACATATGTTTAATATTAAATGTTAGTAACTGTTAATAGATAAGTAACTGTTAATATTTTAACAGTTACCATTACCAGATACTAAAATAAATGAATATAATCTGAACTACTTAGAAATTACAGCATATTAAAGCCCTCAGAAGAAAAACATTTCATTTAACAGTTTAATTTTTAAAATATTATTCTTTATGAGGGATTTTGTTACATTGTGCTACTTTATTTGAGAATACTTAGTATCAAGGGGAGAACTTCCTGGCTTCCACCCAAAATAGTGGCCTTTTTCCATCATGTGTTTTTTAAATGTATATTCATATGTGACTATAGTTTCCTACATTTAATCTGTAAATAACTAATGAGAGAATTATTAAGTGGATAAGTAGGGATGACATTCCTTTTGCAGATAAAAATTAAATGTCTAGAACTTTTTATATTAAGAATACTTTGTATATTTAATGGTTTTTTAAAATAAGATCTATAGATATGTGTTTATGTGTGTCTTAGATATGAAACTGCCCCCTGGGTTTAACTTCTGTTTTGTATTTTTAAAAACTACCATGTGCTTGCAGAAATTTACAGAGAAGCTGTTATAGAAAATTCAGTGAAGCATGGCCAAATAGCTAGAAACATTATTGTATATTTGCAAATATAGTCTTTATTGTTGTACTACAGGCTGCAAGGATAGTTAATATTGGCTATTAATAAAATAGTAACTTGAATTTCATGGCAAATAGATGTTATATTGCTTGTTTAGTCTAGTATATTTCTAATATTTTGTGCTTTCATATATCAAAGGAGATAAAATATGTGAAATTATTTTGAAATACTGTAAAGTGATATATAAGATATATTTCTGTACAGTAGAGAAGTTTCTAACATTAAGATTATTGCACCATTATACATTATCATTCTCAATCTCATAAAAAATTCAAAAGAATCATAAAAGAAATGAAGATATATCTGCTTTCTCTAAATCAAGTCAGTTGTCACTTTAAAAATTATATTGTAGAGTTTTGTTTTAGATTTTGAGAGTACTTTTTTTCCCAGCTTCAAAGAGAAAATAAAATTTACAACTCAGGAGTTCTTAGGGAAGTTCTGGTATTTTTTGCTAAGTATTAAAAATATAAGCATAAAAATGGCATAAAACCTGTTATAGTCATTATGTTTCATATTTTGTCATAAAATTACCTATTCTGCTTCTAGCTTTTATACTTTAACCTGAGTGAAAGTATGATGAAAAAGGAAAAACAGTATAATATATCTCTGAGTTAGTCTTTAAAACATCATTTTGGTAAAATAAACCATATCAAATTGTCAAAATTTGGTTAGATTGATGAATAAGAGAATATTTGATTAATTGTTTTAATGCTAAATGTCCCAAGTCAATAGAGTTATGGCTGAGTTTATAATCCACTGAGTAACTAAGTCAAACATTTATTTTTTAAGAAACTGTATTAGAGGTTTTTCTAAAATCTCTGTTATGTAAACCAGGAACAGAAAGATGTTGCTTACTTTAATTTAATGACATCTACAAGTCTTTAATGTCCTTTGAGGTAAGTAGATCCCTTGTTACAGAAATGTTTTCAGGATTTCTATTTTGTTTTCCATTAGAAAATTCCACTTTCTCTTTGCATGTGCGTTCAATATAAGGCAGGAATTAGACATGTTACGGTCATTTAAATGCAGGTGCAGTTGTAGTGAAAGATGATCTGAGGAAATGTTGGACTTAGGAATTGTGTCTGTCCCCTGACTTCTTTCAGTATTGAGTTCTGTGTGGCTCATTACAGGAACAGATTTGTGTGGGCAATCTCTAGGGTGACAGTGAGTCCTGCCCTGCCTTCTGCCTTGTTCTAGTTATCCAACCCACCCAGCAGATTGTGTTCAGGGACAAACTGTAGAAATCTCTTACTACTGAAATTAATAATCTTATAGTTATGAATGCCTGGAGGTGTCCAGATGTGCCTTAATGAATGTAAATGGTTTTCATTCCAATGTTTACACTTTTACTCCATTGTAAAATCTTGTCATAAGGAACTATTCAAACCATGTATATCACATCAGTTATTTTAATGAAATTTACTTTGGTGCTTTATCATTTTGGAGAAATTGTCATTTGGAATAAGAGCATAAGTTCATAAAAAAGTGTACTCACCACAGTCTATGTGATGTTTGACAAGAGTTTCGAGGAAGAAAGATTAACCTGTATTGTTTCATGTGTTCATGCTTTTTCTTTGCTACATGCTCTAATTTTCACTTTAACCATTCCTTAGTTACTACAAGTAATATTTATCTGTGTTTTACTTCTTTCTTGTTCTTAGATTCAGATGGATGCAGAAAATGGTGTTATATAAGAGAAGTCATTAAAACTTTAATCTCAGTAGATGTTTGTAGGAACCTAAAATTAATTTGAAAAACTTATGCTATAATCTTATACATTTTTTAAAGCCCTGTTCTTTTTTTTTCTTCCTAGATTAGAGAAAGTGTTCTGTGTCATCAACTTTTCCTATTTTGTTGTGAAGTTTTTTGTTTTAGTTATTTGTGGGAAATAACTACTTAATATGTTGTTTTCCTGGATCAAAGTCTTCATGTTGGAGACTCTTATTAATTTTTTTGTATTATGGCCCAAACCTTGGCTAGAGGTGGAGGTCAGAGAGGGAGAGGTGACTAAGACCCCAGCAGATACTTTGGGGAAATGGAGTCTGCACTGGGTTTTACCCTCTTCATTGACCTGCTGGGTCCTCAGGGCATCTTCTGGATCATGAGCATGTTGAGCCCTATGATTTCTGACCTCTGGGGAGGATAGGCTGCTTTGCACTCCACACACAATTTTAATGGGTATCAGTTTTGACAAAATATCTGCTGTAATTTATTTGCCACCACTTTGTAGTTGTTTACAAAATTGTGAGTAATTAGGATCTGCTATATAAATTGTGACTCTTTATAATTATCTTAGGAAGCATTAAAATGCCAACCCTGCATGCAC